GAGTTTAACTTCATGGTTTTTCCACATCAAGCCCCATTTGAAGATTGCAAAAGGAAAGCAAAGTCACTGCCTCCCAATGGGCAACCCCATTCCACTGACATCTTGGTTCCTTCAGTTCTATTGCTAATGATTACTTACAGGGAAACAAAAGCAAATTCAGTTCTGAACCAGAGGTCACATGAAGGAGCAAACCATTCCCCACAGTTTCAGGCCTTTTTAAGGCTTTGCTGCACTGACAGCTATAGTCAGTGTTGTTCTCCAGGGCACCTCACTGCTAAGCTTTGGTGAGATGTGGCCTGCTTTTGGTCTGTGATTTTCAAGCGGAACAAAACAGTTGGAATTCCATATGCGCAATTCCTGCCTCTAATAACAACCCTTTTTCCCCCACAGAGCCACAACACACTTCACAGGGGCGAGTCACAAACAAACTGAACAACCTCAGTTGTTGCAGTCTTGGCCACACCACAATAATGAACTTAGTCTTAAGGTGGTCATACATACTTACGAAGTGCTGGGCTCCTGTCCAGTCCTTGTTGTTACCATTTAACCTCTTTCCACACAGCAAATGCACATACATGAACCTAGGAAAGGACTTCCCTTTCTGTGCAATGAATATAGATGTATTTTCCCGCCTTTGCTTGCAAACTGTTTGGATCAAATGAAATGTGCAGACCAAAGTAAAGGCTGTGAGAAGTGGTAATTGCAGCATCTGTCCCGCTCCCTGAGGGCTGAGGCAGCTGGCACTGGGTATGCAAGTGCTATCTGTTTGTCCTGCCCTGCTGAGACTCACCTTCCGGCTCAAGCTCTTGCCTGTCTCCCTCCTGTAGCAAGCACAGTACTGCTATCCACCGCCCTTGTGCTGCTTGTTCCCATGGGAATACCTCCTGCTGCAGCACAGGTACGCAGAGCTGCCAGGGCAGCCTCCCTCAGGGATGTCGTGACAGGGAAGCAGGAGATACATCCAGAGAAGTGAAGCCAGGATTCAAACACAGAGGTCATAGCCTAGACTAAACCAATTCTTACTGCTGGAAAATTTACCCAAGCTTTTAGGCCCATCAGCTCCTATTTTCAACTCTCTTTCAGAGAAGTAGCAGATTTGAAACATGCACCGTGTGCTTGCTCCCCAGGTGTAGGTATTTTTGAAGCATGCTACTTCTGTTTCATAATTCAGGTCATCTTACATGTCTTATGCATATCAGCACTCGAGTAAAAGATACAGCCTGTACTTGGGTGTCTTGTCTTAGAGCAACTTCACCACTCAAACCACTACAGGGGTTTCCCTACCATCACAGAGATCTCTGCTTAAAGCCCTACAGAGTTACAGGATGCTGAAAAGCAGGAAAACATCTAACTTTCCCACTCTCTTCCATGTCCATTATAAGCCTTTGTCAGGTTTGCTACCAGGACTGACTGAGCCAGGCTTGCTCTGATGAACCTGCCAAACCTTCCTGGACAGAACATCCCAACAGATCAAGTTTGTGAGGAGCAGCAGAAGAGGCAATAAATTAGAGCACAGCCTTCTACCTGGTCTACAAAATTGGCAGCCAGATTGAGAATTACTTGTTTAGCTTTGAAAATGCTTTTAGAGCAAGGCTTAGAAAAATGTACAGCAGAGTTTGAACACATTCCAATTGAAAACCATGTGCACTGTTTGCAACTGGAAAATGATCCTCATTTTAACTAAGACCAAGAAATATCAAATCTTACAATCTGGATCGGGACTTTTGTGACTAGAGAGTGAGGCAGCTTTGGAGAGGACATCATTTAGAGCTGTCTTGAAAGCAGTGTCTGAATCTGCAGGCACTTGACCTTCTGGGACACAATAATTCTAACAGCATTCTGGCCTTATGACGCTGTACACTGTAAAGTGAATGCATGCATCAGTCGTGGGTAAGGAGCTTACTAATAAATTAGTTCATTTTTTTTTCCTTTAGCCAAAAGGCAGTGCAAGCCATGGCTTTATTTACAAAAGGTTAAAGATTCCTTTAATTGGATTGCTGGCATTTAGGCATGCAGCAGAATATCCTTCAGCAGTGTCCCCTTTTATTTGTGACTGGAGAAGTGCCGAGAGAAATGCCAAGGGAAGATTTCATTTTAATAAAAAAGAAAAGCTTAAGATCCCTTTGGAGGCTTATGTTACATCTTGAAACTACCATGAACTAATGAATTTCATCTAAAAGGTCCCCAACCGCAGGACTGAAGGGAAATTGCAACCCTGGTGTAGCTTGACCAAGTTGACTTTGTGTGTTAGCAGTTGCAGCCTTGTGCTCACGTTCTATTATGAACACAAACACACGCATCTGAAGTTTTTAGTCATGTAAAAGATATTTTTAAGTGAGAACTCTGGTTGCCCTACAGCATCCTAAAGACACTTCAAAGACCCATTCGTGGCAGAGACTTGCACACTAACAGAGCAACAGGAAAATCCCCCCCCAGTCACTGGCTTTGGAAAAAATGACACACCAAAAACCGTGCTGCCTCGAAGAAAAATAACCCCTTGTTGGCTCATATTGGAGACAAGCTGAGGGCCCAATGCTGCCCGGTGCTGGAAGGCGTGTGCACTCAGCACCACCAGGCTGAGTTATTATCTCACAGTTATTATATTGCACAGCATGGAAGTCTCTCGGGAGAGTGGCTCATGTACACTTTGCGTCCTTAGAAAACAGGGTGGGAATTTATGAGGGAAGAAAACAGGGTCTATAAATTACACAAAGGACCTTTAAATCGAGGTACAGGTTTCATTACTGGAGCATGTAATGGGATGGTCAAAATTAAAACCAGCTTCTAGAGAGTGGATTGCATTTAACTTCCCATTTGGGGAGAAAGAGAAGCAATTTCAAACATAGCATCTATTAACTGGACAAGTTGAAGTATGATGCCAAGTTTGCATCAACACAGTAAGTGACCAACATGTAAGTTATCATCCACCTTTACTTTAACATTACATTTTGCTTTCTAAAACGTGATGATTAGAACATTGCCTTAATGCCATGATGGATTTGAGAGCCAGAATCTACCTATTTTACTGACACCATAGAAAGCACGAGAGAATGCTTGTGCAATGGCTAAGCTCCCATATGCTGCAGCTAAAGAGCCACAAGAGAGAAGAGGTACCACTGAGAACGTGAACAGGGTTCAGGGCTTTCCTAACTATGTGGGATAAAGCACAGCAGCCAGCCCTCCCTACCTGCAGAGCATCCTAAAGTTCTGCACTCATCAAACCCCATCACACCCACCTTGTGACACCAGATCCTCCAGAGATGAAGTTTTGCCCTTACTGTAACTACAATCTCTGGTATTTCAGCATAAGGACCCACAGCAGCATGAGGCACACCAGCTCTTTTCTCATCAGATACCTGTGCTCCCAAGAAGCACCAAACAACCCTGGAGAAATTTCCCTATCTTACAGACTTCCAGTGTTGCTTTCCTGTTTAAAGTCAGAGCTCCCTGTGCTTTGCTGTGATGCTCCCATGTAACAAATTATTACATCTTCGTGGTGGTACAGAAAAGATGGAAACATACCTATGAATGTGCCACCACTCTGGAAACCAGAAGGCAGATCAGAAGAATCCACAACTGCACTAAAGCAATCACTCATTATTTTGAAGTCACTATCACAATTTTTGGAAACATGCAGTTAGGAAGCCTGAACTTCCCAATTCTATCACCTGAAGGGCAGAACTCTCACCTGTTCCAAAAACCAAAATGCAGGTTTCTTTCCAATTCAGACCTTCAAAAAGAGCTGGTGGTGCTCAGACCTTCCTGGCGTGGAAGATGCCAAACCCAAACACAGACACTTCCATTTGTGTGCCTATTCCACCACACTGCTGCTTGGAAAGATATCCAGAGAAAGGAAAACATATTTCCACATTTTAAAATTTGGAATGGGGTTTCATTCACAAATGGCAAACATTTTAAATCACAGATAAAATATTTAAAACTATTCAAGACAAAAACCAAAATGTCTCATTCAGACTCAGGCAGAGCATTCGTTCTGCCCCCAGAACTACTTTTCTCCTTCACTATTTTGTTTTCTCAATCATTCTGAACCAACCCTTGAGGTTTGGTCTGGAATAAAAACACATCTTTAACAAGGCACTTATTCATGCAGGGTACATCTTCCTCTCCAACTGTAATTCCATGTCCAGCTCATGGAAGTGGCAGCTTCCTTCTTGTGGGACAAAGTAATGAAACAAAAAAAAACCCTGGCTATGTCAGCCAGTTTCTTCTATCCTGTAGCTACATACTTGTCCTCTGAGTCATGATTCCAGTCCTCACACCCTGGCCTGGATTTCCACATTTAATGAGGTTGCAGGCTGCTGCTTTTCACTGTTATCCTTAATCAAGTTTTATTGATTACTGGGACACAGCATCAATGGAGAGAACATTACAACCAAATAGAACAGCTGCCCAGCAGCTACTGGCACCTTTTTGTGTTCCAGAAAAACACACACCCCATATTAAAAAACAATGTCATTGCCTCTCCCGTTCAGTGCTGCACACTCCTGGCTGTGCACTCCCCACAGGAGATTCCCATGATCCTGGACTGGACTGTAACCCTGCAACCCTGTCACGCCCTTTCTGAGAATCCGCTTGATGTGGAGAGAACGAACGTACATGTTTGGGGATGCTGAGTGAAGAGCTAGGGGCAGGAGGATTGCTCATGCTCAGTTTGATGTGGGCAGGTAAAAAAACGTGTTATTTTATACAGCTTCTCTCCCACTCAGACAGAAGGAAACCTGCAGAAGGCTGAAGGAAAAGCTGGCGAAACCCAAGGGTTACTTATCTTGCAGTTATCTATAACCAACTCAGGAGTTAATGGCAGAGAAACCCCCTGGCCAGGTACTACCATAGGTAACACTCTTGCAGAAAATTAACAGGTCAGAAAAAGTGACCAGTTACTCTTATTATGAGAGATTAAATGAAAATGTACTCAATGTTCTACATTAAAATCCAAGGGTTAAATCAGTTAAATTGCAAATCCTTCATGAATGGCATTATACGTATTGTCAAGGTAACGCTAGAACAGAAAATAAGAGAATTGGGGAATTTAAGATACAAAATAAAATTGTGCTGGGGGGACTGAGCTAATAAAATCTCTGCTAGGTCTTAAATGTTCATTATTCTTTAGAATGGGTGTCTGAATGAAAGCAGAGTGAGAGCAGGGACCAACAGATGTGCATTTCCATGAGCAGCCTTGGAAAGGGAAATGAGTTTGTTTGAAGCCAGGACCCTGTTAAACACAGCAACCCATTAAGATACAGGCTCCATCTCATCACACCATTCTTCAAACTCTTCCCATTCTTTTGTAGGTATAAATTGCAATTCCCCAAGACAGTTCAAAGTAACCAAAGAGCTACTGCTACTCTACTTCTACCATTTCCAACTCTTCTCTTTATTGCTAAGGATTACTTTTGCCATGGGATAATCTGTGCCTTGTAAAAACATCCTTCAAAGGAAGCATGGCTGAACTCCTCATTCCTTGATCATAAGGTTCCCTATTGGATTGCATATGATTAATGACTAACTGTTTTCTATGAAGAACAAACACACAACAAAGGGTTGCCTGTACAGAAAAGGGGGGAGGAACTTCCCTAATTTCCTGTAATTTGTGTGTCTCAAGCCATAAGGAGATGGATCTCTCCCTGTGCACCTCTGCAGAGCTACACAGTTAATAGTGAAGGAAAACATAACTCTACATTTCTTCTTCATGCAATTACAGGGATCTAAAAAGGATAATTATATCTATGCAACCCAGCATGACCAATCATTAAAAGAGATAGAGTAGCCAAATTAAACAAATAAATAGTCTACTACCAATGTAAGCGCATGTTGAATGTACCAAAGTCCATATAATTTTCTTGATTACTTCACCCACCTCTATCTACCCCCTTCCTTAAGCTTCTGGTTGTTGTTCTGAAGAAAACTTTAATTCTGCATTGCTTGCAGACTGTAGATACTGTGTGTTCCTTCCTGTCACATGTGGTTGGTGATGACATCACCCAGAGAGACATGCAGGTGAAGAGGAGCTGGCTGATACTGCGGTACTCCCGTACTTCAGACAGCGGCAACATGGACATGCCCAGCCTAGATTTAAACTGCTGCCTTCAACTTGAGGAAAACAGAGCAACACAGAGCTCCCACCACTCCCAACCTAGCACTGAGTGACCAGCCAGCACTGAGCCCAGTGTACACCATGAGGCTCTGCAAGGTACCAGCCCAAATCCACCAGTGGAAGCCCATGGCCACGCTTCCCTGGGGTATGTAGACAGGATCAGAAACCCAAGAAGGCAGCAGATGGCGTATTTGGAGACTGCTTCAGTCTTCAAAGGTCTTGTCCTACACTTGGATATCTTGTAAATCGGGATTACCCAGTACTGCCAGCAAAGAGCATCTTGCTCACAGTTTTGCATTCCCTGGGAATGCAGGCCCTGATCCTTTTGTGGAGCTCCCCAGTGCTTCCACAGTGGAAGTGATATGTCCGAGTTTCATTAAATGGGGGACATTCTTTAGCTGTCCCTGTTGAGAGAGATGGCAAGGCAGAGCTTAATCAGGCAGGGACTGGGAATGTTTTCCAGCTGGTACCACTCACACTCAGCACTAGGCTATTTTGTTACATTTCTCTGCCCTTTGTTACTCTTTGTTCAGAGGTGGTTTTACCATATCTTTAAACTGCCATTTAATGATACAGCTGCAATGCTCATGTGCTTATCTTCTGGTTTGCAGCTTTTTTTCCCCTGCTTTGTTTTTCCCACAACGTACATGTATTAGCAGCTTTCTCTTGAATTTGCCTTTTTTATGTGTGCATTAATTCCTAAATTACAGTGTGTCATATCCTTTCAACTGCTCATGAATGTCTTTATAACTATGATATTTTATGGCAATTTAACTGTGGAGATTACAAATAAAATTATCAGCTAAAACCAGAATGATTAGTAAACCAAGATAAATGCTGTAAATTAATCATCATTTCATACATCATACCAAGGTTTTACATTTTCATGTTACTATGGCAGATGCAAATTGTTGAGGTGAAAACTGTTGTAGCAATTTTAACTATAACAAAATATCAGTCCTTAAACACCAACAGAACAGAGACGGGGAGTTTCCAGCTAACCTTTCAGACATCCACTTTCACCCAACAACAGCCATTTTGTAGTAGGTACTTAGAGTTCCTCTGTCAGTTCCTACCCCTTCATTTTTCAGCTGATGTGTTGAGGAGTGAGTTAATGACTCAGCACACACTGCGGCCACTGCTTCCTTCAGTTAGGAAAGACTAGAACTCACTTGTCTGCAGCCTTTTTGGGACAGGACACGCTGTTCCTTCTGAGTTTCTCTAGGGCAGCCTTAGATGTGAAGAGAACATTTTCTTCTGCAAAAAAGAAATGAGGGAAATCTTTTCATATTATTTAATACAGATGTGCACCCTACTACTCTCTAGCACAAACCCACACAAGCCTATTCCTCCCATGCCCAACTAGAGGAGCACACACAGTCCCTCCACATTTTAAATTATACAGCACTGGCTCAGCTAGACAGAAAATGTGCAGGGTTACTTCCAGACAAAGATTAATCTTTCTTTGATATATTCAATACTTCACATGCTCCACATTATCTGGTGAGTATATATGCCTTGCCTTCAAGAATGTGATGTACTATGCCATACATCATAGTCTAATTTATTGAGTGCACCTCTGCAGCATGCACTGCACATCCCTGCCCAGGGTCAGGATCCGGTGCCAATCTTCAGTGCTGCTTTTCCCAGCCCTGGGACTCGGCACTGAGTGCCAGCACTGCCATAGCGTGTACAGCCAGTGCCGATCACAACAGGTACTTGCACAGTCCAACACAGCTTCCTTTCAGAGCAGGTGTACAGCCAGCACAAAGCTGAGCCACAAACAACCCACTACACTCATTACAAGCAATATCCTGGGAAAAGCACGTAATAATAGGAGCGGTGCCACCCCAGCAGGAGCCACTGGAAGAAGCAAAGCACATGCGCAGACACTGGCACCCAAACACAGACTCTGCTGGCTTTATTCTACAGCTAGGAGAGTTGAGTTCTCCACTTGCCACACTCACCTACTTGTATGACAGCTATCTTTTAAAGATGAGGAAGTTGAGAGACAGAAAGATGACCCTACCTCACCCAAATCAGCTTCATCTTCAGGGAGATTTCCATGGAAATGGAGCAGAACAGGCTTCTCATTCCTACACCAGATCTTCTCAAGACATCTGCTGTGTCCAGCACTCTTCCAGTGTTGGAGTCACAGGCTAAGAAGAGGTGTTAACAGCCTGTGTGGTCTGAATGGGAGGAAGGAAAAACAAACAGATATAAACGCAGACTTTTACATGCAGTTCAGTTTGTTGTATGGCAGACCTGGGGCTTCTGCAGAGAAGCAGCCTGGAGTAGTATCTTACAGTTCTTAGCTATAACCACAGCACAAGTCACCTTGTGTCATGTAATGGACATACAGTAGTGTGATTAGAAAGACTAATCCCACATGTGCCTCTTTCTCCAATGTACATAAGAGCACTGTTGTCTATAGCTCTATAGCTGCACTTAAATGGAAGCACGCTGCCTAAATATTGATACTTGCTGTGATTAATATTGCTATTTATATTAGCAATGAATTGGGTTCACATAAAAATAATTAGCACAGCATGCCTGGGTATTATTTGCTCCTAATTATATCACAGTTCATTTCACCAACAGCAATGTGTCACTAAGTCAATAACAACCAATGATTAATACACAAAATGGATTACCTTGAAATAATACCCTGGGTTATGATGGAATACTATTAGGAAGTCCCCGGATAATTGCTTTAGGTGAGTTCCTGACTGGAGTCACCAATACCAATGTAAATTGTAAGCACAAGCATAAAAAAAAAAAAGAGGTGTTACACAGCATTTCTGTTTGTTCATTTTGTGCTTTATCTTTCCCCATCATTTCCTTTCACACACAGTCAAGAGTGACCCAGGGTGACAGCATGCACCAAACCACTGGCACTACCATCAACAACTTGTCACCCCAGCAGCCCTACCCCTCACTCCAGGAGCAATTCAGTGTCATTCAGATGACTCCATGCCAGAGCAACCAGAGCCCCTCCACCCTCACTCTGGTTGCTCCAGGTACACTCTTAGAAAGCACCTCCCAGAACAGACGGACTCAGGCAATTACACCCCAATCACACCACCCAGGCAGCAGCACAAATATAACAAACACGTAATAAACCCAGCCAACAAAACCATCCCCAGAGTCCGCCTCCTACATCTGCCCAGCCTCACTCATCTCCCAACTCCCTTGAGCAAGTCATTTAACCACTCTCTTTGCCATCTGGAAAGCTGGGACGTTGCTGCTGCCTCAGTACTCACAGGCTATCAGGAGACTTTGTTTACTGGAGTTTGTGAAGAAAACTGAGATATTGGGATGCTATGACTTGTCATGGGCTCTATTGTGCAAGATGCTGGCTCTGGCCTGGATCCAGCAAAGCACTTAAGCACTTGGTTATCCCTTAAAAAAAGTAGAGCAACTTTTCCGCTATCACAGAAAATATATTCAAAAGAGCTTAAAAAAATAGCTTAGATGAAATAGGTCCATTTAATACAAGTCCTGATTCCAAGGCACAAGAATGGCTTCATGTTGTTCTGAAGAGCAGTCTTTTCACTTCTGGCTTCTGATGGCACCTGCCCCATTTAAACAGATGAAAGTGGCCACGTGTCAACATTGGAATCAAAAACTTTGACATATGAAGATTTACAGCTGGTTTCAAGAGAGCAAATAAAACTTCCTTTTGCTCATCACTTATTAGTGGAGACAAACTTGGATGTAAGTTAATACTTCTCGCCAATCTCTGTCAAATATACAGCCAGCTAACGAATACTAAATATCCCATTGTATATTGCACACCCATAAATCAACCCAGCCAGCAGGAACACACTCAGCATCTTTATGGTGTGCTACTGCCCTCATGTGTAATAAACAGGGATCTGGAACTGAAAAATGCTGCCTTGGATTTCATTAGCATGGTGCTGGTGGAGTGTCATGGACAAAAATACCCTGGTTCCCTGTGGCTGAACCCAAATGAGAAATCAGGTAAATATTTTAGCACAGGGATGTCTGGCTTTTCCTTACCCTGTTAATGCCAGGACAGCACAATCCCTTCTCATTTGTTCTATGGTAACTTCTACAGCTCGGACAGACATCTGTGACAATCTTATTATGATAGATCTTGAGACAAGGTCATTTTTTTTGAGTAGTTTAACTGGTTTTTTAGGTACAAAAATAATCAAAATTTGAAAGCTCTCAGTACGTTGACTGAAGTGCTTTAAAAAAAAAATACATCTGAGAGTAATATTGTCAACATTTTATGAAGAGCAGGTCTCTGGAAAAATGAGCTTTTAAACATGATGCTGAGCATAGTTCAGAGCTCTGAAGATGCCTCAGTGATGGGTACAAACATCCAATGAGAGAGGAAACACAGAACTTACCTCTGCAGAAGCAGCAGAGACTCTCAGCTCTGACCAATCTCTGTGTAGCAAAGGTTTCTCTTCAAGCAGAAAACACAACCAGTTTCCTGTCCTGTCAGACTTTCCAGATGCTGCTCACTCAGTGGTATCCATCTGCAGACACAGCCAAAAGTCAAAATCCAGACAAAGTCAAGGAATCAAAACCACCTCAAGGTAAAAAACGGCCAGGTCAATAATTTCATTTTTATTTCAACCAAACACAACACTTCCAGCTTTAAATGTTGATAACAATGTCAAATAACAGCAAAGAAGCTCACTTGGTCATTTTAGATATGTTAAAATAGGACATATTGAAATGAATCAGAAAGGTATTACTGTAAGAAGTCCACTACATTCTCTTGCCTACAAATCCAGCTTCAGAATCAGTGGGTTCCCAGCACTGGCCTTGCAAACCACAGCACAATGGGGACAGGGACACTTCCCGCCTGGCTCTCACTCTGGGGGCATTAGCACAAGCTTTGTGCCAAACATGCACTAAGAATCTTTGTGGCAAGCTCCCAGGTGCAGTCCCAGGTTCAACACGTTTTCAATGATTTGGGAAGCAGCACAGCAGAGTACAGCAGCTGTCCTCCTCCCCAGGATTCAAGAGCATGAACTGCCATCACCAGAGCTGGAACTCTGCTGCTGCAGCTGACTGCACAAACTAGCTTAGCCAAAGCAGCTTCAGTGTGCAAGCACAAGTGGGAGGCAAGTCCCTGTGTCTCTGATTTTTCCCAGGACACAGGATGACCCATTTCTTATTCCCAATTCATAGAAACTTGCCTTTTTCCAGCAGAAGATGGGGACTGAAGAATCCTGTTTGCACTTGTGATCCTTTTCAGAAAAGGAATCCAACGACTTGCACCACCTCTTGGTTGACTCCCCAGAGCCCTGTCATCTATGGCCTTGTTTAAGGGAGACAGTAATTAAGAAAAGGAAAGTTAATTTACCCACAGGCTGTGGAATATCTTGCACCTCCACAGGAAAGCTTTGAGAGGTTTCACTGGAAAAGAATGAAGAGCAGTATTCTGCTAAAACAGTCTCAGATCCTCAGTTCAGGCCAAGAGGGAATGTCGTTAACAGTCACTGTAACTGTGTGCTTCAGTGTCAGCACTTCAAGAGTTGGGGTTACTGCTGTACACATCTCTGTTGCCGCTATTCTGAAGGGGAATACTGAGTATGACCCCCCAGCACGTTACACCAGAGAGGGCTGTGTGCTCACTAGAACCTTCCAGCCTGACCTGACTTCCAACAGACCAAGGAAGCAGAAGCTGGTCCCAGCCTCATACCTTCTACTGCTTACACCAAAGGCGTACAAGACATAGAAAACAAGTACATTTTGAAGCTCAAAACCAGAGTCTCATCTTCTAAGCAGCTTATTATGGTGGTATCTCAGCTGGCAAAGGGCTTCTCTGTGTCCTTTCCAACTAGCAGGAACATTCCTCTACATTCCCATTTCACTCCCAGGCTCTTTCAAGATGAATTAACGCTTTGATTCAAGATTTATTTCCCAATGAAAAGCTCATACCTAGAGCAAGTCACAGTGCTAATGAAGACCAGCACATCTGCCAGGTAGAAGGAGCTGCACACTGAAGCCCAGTGGATCACCACAAAGCATTTCAAGACATTCAGTTCACTGTCTCCATCGTTCAGACAGACACACATATAGCAGGGAAGACAGATGATACATGGTTACCCACGGAACTTTATTAACACATTCAGGCTTATGGAAATCTGCAGGCTAAGCTGTTTCAGTTTTCCTTTTTTTTTTTTTTTTTAAATAAGATATTTCCACTAACAAAACTGATTTTTAAGTATGGAGCAGTCATTTGCCAGGTTTTCAAAGCCATCTGTTTTCAAAGCCTACCTTCCTTGTTGTTTACCACAGGCTGCCTATCTGTTTTAACAACCTCCACTGGGATTTCACATACCTCATTATGCAAAATCACTACTTATGCATTCACTCCAGCACTTGTCTAACTAATCTGCACTCATAACACCTTCCGTAGAAGATGCAGCATCCCTCTTCAGAGGCTGCAGATCAAAAACAATAGTAGCTGGTGTCATAGCAAGACAAAACATAGCCTCCTGTGTATTACTGTTGTGATACAGGCCTAATCCAAGGCTGCTTGGAGCTGCTAAAGTATAATAAAAAAATACCATATCACAAGAGATTTTGTATCATATTCAAGATAAAAAGCATCTATTTTTAATGTTGAGACTTCTGCTTTTCTTTGTCGAGAGGATTCCAAGTATTTTGGTCTCCCAGTCCTCATTCCCCAGCAATCTGATGAGCACCCTCAACCTCCTCTGAAGTTCCTCATGCCCTACTGCTTGGTTCATACCCAGGCACCATGTGCTTTTCCTGCCAGTTTTCCATATGTAACAGGCAGCCCTAACATCTGACAGAGCTTAAGCCGCTGTTTAGAGCCTCCCTGCACCCCTCCTCTAGATACCTTCGTATCATCAGCAGCTCATTGACAACAGACCTTCCCAAGTGCTCTGCTCTATCCTGTCAAGGCCTGCTCAGGGACCCTTTAGCACACATCACTGATACAATCCATCACAGTAAGAGCTTGCTGGGGGATGCTTGAATTCACAGCTTATTAACACAATAGACTATAACGTCTGGTACCATTATGGCTGGCTGGGTCACAGAACATCCTCAGGTAGGTTAAGAAGTAAAGAGAGAGAATGGGAGAGGAAAATAAATTCTCTCTGTTGGCGTACGGTATTCTCCAAGTAATTATAAAACCCCAGAATTTATTAACATTATTTTCTTTAATCCATTAGCTCATCCTTCTTGGATGTGGCTATCATCTCTATTTGTCTGTTTGAGAGCTAAAGTAAAACTTGCCATTCTTACATTTTTCAAACCCATCTCTAAATCACAGCTGTAATGACACTACTATGGGCAAGATTTAACTCAAATTCAAAATGACAAAGTGACTTTAAATGTTTATCTTACATGGGGAAGCAAAGGAAATTCCTCTTGAGCAAAGTACAAGAGATTGAAGCTAGCAATAGAAAAGAGTGGAATTTTATGGTTGAGTTGTGATTTCCCAGAAAAAAATATAATAGAACAGTCCTATAAAAGACTTCAGATCTATGAAAGTGGAAGTGTTTTCTGAGTGAGGTAAGCATCCCATTACTATCCCATTTCACACATGTGAAAACAAGAGACTGGAAATAAAATGAATGGATGGACTTTTCCAAAACATGGGCATCAGCTCTGGCCCCTGAACCATGCGCAAACACCACAACCCTCCTCTCTGCCACCCTCAGCTCCACTTCCAATCCAGGATGCTACTGCCTCAGAGTCTCAAAGAATCCCTTGGCTGACTCCTTTTGCATAACACAGCAGCCGCAACATGTGCCAGGACCAGAGACTTCCAGGTTGGAGCACAGGGTGGCAAAGGTGATGTGAGGAGAAGCTGCCCACTTAGACAGTCATGGGCAACAAATCAGAGGCAGAAAACCAGATCTTGCTGGAGGTGGCTTTAACAGCCAGTGTGGGAACTGGCTGTGATTTTACCTGCACCCAGCAGGGCCCAGGCAGCATTGCCACAGATCTGTCAACACCTCCCAGCAGCCTTGGTCCTCCTGAAATCAAAATAGGCTTTTGTGGAGTGGCTCATGAAGTGAGGCCCCAGAAGAGAACAACACATAACATCTATGCTCGTATCTCACATCGTGATAGAAACAAACCCAGAATCAAGAGGTGTATCTCTTTGTTTTCCTTAGACACAAAATGGAAATCAACCTATTCACTCATTGTTGCACAACATTTTACGGTTAAATATGCTTTTATTTATAACACCCTTTGTACTGTGAAAGGCTGAATTTATATAAGCTGCATTAGCATTTTTAGACGCTATGCAAGAAAACAGATTCTCTTAAACCTATTATTTGGAAACACTAATTAAGTTTGTATACACCTGTATTATACATCTCCACTAAAGCGTAAATTACTGTTTCTTTTCCCTGCATTTGCTTTAGTTGGCTGGTCTATTGTTCCCCACAGCACAAGTTTAACAAGTACTTGCATTTTGCTAGGTGAGCACCTCTGACTGTTGGTTGATACAACTCTGCCAGCACGCATGCTCATAGTAACAGCTCTTAAGTGCTTGATTTGCCTTGTACACTTTGGAAAAGCATAAGGTCCATCATTAGGATTAAACACTGTCATGCAATAACATCAGGAGATGGTAGGTATGGATCAGGATTATGCTTCGGTAGGCAGTAGATAAATATGGAATAAAGAGTAGTCCTTGCACAAAGTTGTCTAAATGATTTACACGAATGCCAGCTACAAATAGGATCAGATTAACTTTCAGCTTCAGTAAATATTTGTTTCACTGGAACCAAATCCTCTGCTTCTATAGGCTGGGCTAGAAATAGCAGGCTAGCAATCCTAGGCACACTGCAATTACAACACTTAAGAATAGTGGTTGGTGGCCCCAGGGCAAAACCCCACCAGGGTAGATTACAGGTCAGATAGCTAGCACAGACATGTTCAGTGTTTGCATTTAATGCGCTCTGGTCAGAAACAGCTCTACTCTTCACTGCACAGCTGGTTTTCAAAGCAGCACAGAGAGCAGAAACCATCTTAGCAGTGTTCTTAAATAGTCCCTTTGAGCTCACTCATAGTGTGATTTAGAAAACTGCTAGAACGAGGATCCGAACTGCACTAAACATAAACACAAGGGAAGCCAAGCTGCTGGAGACAAACATTACATAAAACAAACACAGTGGAAAAAAAGAAACACGTGGAGGCGGGAGCCTCAGCTCGGCGCTGGTGGCAGCATCACAGCAGCAGCATACAAGGGAGGGGAGCACACCTGAACACAGAGGCCAGGTCAGCTGAGTACAGAGCCGTGTCCTCCTGAACTAACTCACAGAACTAAGACTGCCAGCGTTAATATGACTGCTTTACTCTGTGGCTTAAATTTGGATTTTGCAGCAAAGCTGCAGAGAATTTAATTGACTCCTTTTATAGCTTAACTCTCAGCTACAACATCAATATTAGAAGAGGAAATGTCATTTCTCGTTTAACTTAATTTTTGAAGAACATGTTTCTGTAACCTTTGGTATGTAATACTTTTTATTTCAATTGAAAAACATCTCTTTTAAGTGCTAAAGTAGGGTAATAGGAAAGCTGATACTCAGTTAACCCACATTTTCAAAGCAAACAAGCCCTTTTTGCATAAATGGAGGCCATCAGTCAGCTTTGGTCTAATTCCTCTGAACTCAAAAACAGTACCCCAGAAAGGAAGTAACTAGAGAACACTCTATGAAGATTTGAGCTGGGGTCTTTGTGCAGGCAAACACAGTCCCTGTCTTCACAAACCACGTTACCAGTGCATGGCATTCTCTCGACTGCAGACTGCGAGCATATTTATGATTTTTACAAAGCCCACACTCTACCCTGGGACTGGAAGCTCTATGTTAGCTGACTTAAATTAAAATATTCAAGCTTGGGTTTTAAATCATGCTAGCAGCTCAAGCTCAAATTCCTTGCTTCTAAGGTTCCGGTCCCATGCGAATATGTAATGCACCATGATAAAGAACAAGGAAGCAAAATCAGAACATATGTGATTTAAAAGGCACATTGCAACCATTTTAAAACCAATTATCTCTTCTCAAAGTACTAAGGAAGGGAGAAAACCTCCCACTCTAAAGTTTAACTGGACTCCATCCAGCCCACTTTGCCCAGGAATTCAAAACAGCAACACAGTCCTAAACTTCTTCTTAAGCCGGATTTCTCCTACCTATATTCTCTGTGCTAAGATGGCATCCTTAAAATGGGTATTTAACGAACAGAACATGAAGTAAGTTCACATCAAGTTGTGATGAAAAATACAGTCTAACTTCTATGCTTTTGCAATTACTGCCTCTCAGTTCAAGTTTTTTCTCCTTCATTAACAACTGCCTTTAACTAAAGTAACCATAGCAATGCTTTTCAGCCTTGATGTCTTTTGTTTAGCTTGCTTGAAGATGAAGTCAAAACATAATTTTCACCCACAACACTTATGACAAACTTCATTTCAAAACTAAGACATTATTTCCAGTAAGGTATGAGAGAGGAGGTTTCCACAGAAGGTAATCATTTACCTTTAGCTTTAAAGAAACAGCATTTAATGTCTGCTAGTACAATGTTCTTGCCTCAGTGTTGGAGCTGATTTGAATTCTCCTGAAGTTTTTCGAGTCTGCTGACATATAGAGACAGTGAATCAGTGTGAGAATTTGAATTCTGGTTTGCATTAGCAGTTCCTCAATATCTGTGATAGGACAGAGCTCACAGGGTCACAAAATACACTTTGCCCATGTACTTCCCACAGCAACAAGTCAGGAAAAGCAAGCTGGAAAGATCAGTACACGCTGGCACAAAGACCACAGGGGTGAAAGGATTGTATCAGCCATTTCATTGGCTCTGATAAAAGTGCAAAGACGTCTAGCAGGAACCACATGAAATTTAAAAAAGAAAAGAAATCATTTCAGCTAAATTTCAGGAGGGGCAGAAGGGGGATCACGTACCAGCTCTCCTTCCATATGGCTCTGTTTGCCACACAGACCCCGAGAGCTATGAGGGAGTCTTGCTTTGACTTGGTTCTGGCTACACATATGTACTCTTTACAAATGCTTAACATTCTACCCCCCCGAGTACAGCACACAGTGAAAATGGACTGGATACTTCCCACAAGAATATTTTAGAATAAATTATAAGAGTGGAAATGCCATCTGGGGAAAAAAAAAATCGTAATTGTAACGATATAGAAACCTTTTTGTTTAGTTGAAAACACCTCACTGGTTACCTCCAAACCGAAGGTTACCTTGAGACTACATAAACAACTCTTCAGTCTTTTTTTTAGTCCCTGGAGGCTCTATCAGTCCTATCAGGGCCCTCCTGGGGCTCGGACACAGTCCTACACAAACTGAACAGTCACTTCAGCTCTGTGTCAATTCACAAACTGGCCCCCAGTCTCATTCTACCAACCATAACACAGGAACACAGAGCAAGAATGTTACGTAAACTCTTCCCTCCTATAGATGGTATGCTGTTATGTGATACAAACACCTACACTCAGATCTAACTTAAACCATTGTCATTATGAATTGCTCCTGTACATAAATTCACTTGTGATTAAATTCACGCACAGTGGAACCTGAGAATAATTTATATTACTGGCTGTGCCAAAGACAAGTTAATTTTAAGTTAGAGACGCTATTTCCAGCATTAATATTGGGAAGATGGCCCAGTTTTAGTAGTCTAGTACTAGAAATCATTGATACTATCACATTATCATTTGGATCCGATGGTTCTATGACGCCTCTTTACTGAACTCCAGAAGCTCCTATTCAGCTGTACTCTCACCCTTCAGGCCAGTTCCCTCCTTCAGCAGCAGGGTTCTTCTACACACTTAGAGGCCTCCTCACTAATCTGATTACTCATCACAGTAATCTAAAATCCACGGTAAGTATGAGGCTTAGTACAGGCTTTAGATCAGACCACCACACTGGCAGCAAAACCTGTATGACATATCTGACAGGCTGGACAAAAAATTTGTTGTAGTTTTGCCAAGGGAAGAGAGATCCAATGACTTTCCAAAGGGATTTGTTTCTCACTCCACCTAGTACGACGCTTACTGCTGTGGAGGCTGCACAAAATAGTTTACTAAGACAACTTGCTGTTGCCAGTCGAGACCTCAGTGATTAATCATGATACACAAATCATGCACAATACAAATGGGCTGCTACTACATTTTGTAATTGCATGTGAAACACAAAAGCTGGCAACCGCAATGCTGGTATTTAGTTTGCCTTTTCCCTGCAAAGTCCCTACTTCTCTCTCATATGCCATATTTTTACCTTCAAGCACAAGTGCTAAGTACATTTAATACTGGCAATTCCCCAGGATTGTATTTTTTCAAATAAATCAGATTTTCGGCTGTTCTAGCCCATTTCCCTCATCTCCTTCCCTCTGGCAACAGCAACGGCAAGTGGAAAGCTGATACAACAAAGCTGGTTTCCTGCAGCAAAGCTCGGTGCCAGCCATTATTCTTGCTCCATGTACCTGCTCACAGTCTTCATATTCAGTGCTTCTGAGTGTTTTCTCTCCCTCCACAGTAAAAGCTCTGAACAACCACCCTCTCACCAGACTCAGCAAACCCCCAAAAGCTATCTGCTACTGCCACAGTAGGGAGATATTTGCATCTTTCCCATCTCTCACTGGTCAAAAGCTGGTTTCCTAGAAGGAATTGTAAGGATGAAATGAAAATAAAAGCCTGGGGACTAGCTCTGCTCCTTTCCTGCCTCTCTGGAGAGCCTCAATAGCATTGTTTCTTCGGCAGCAGTGGGTGATAAGCACCTGTATGAATCTTCTAGGTTCTCATGCAGAGGGGGAAACTGTTCTCCTATTTTGGCTCCCTTGTAAGGCTCAGTGCTAAACCATGGCTGCAAGCTTACTTCACACTGAGGGAGAACAAAACATAGCAAAAACCCATGCCTTGTCCCTACGAATAACATGGATAGCAGAGTGCCTGCAAAAGGCATCACCAACTGAAGTGGCCTCAAGCCACCATCTGATGCTGGATTTTGGCTTCTCTGAGGCCTGACACAAAGAGGTCTGAACACTGCCTTTTACTGAAGTTTCTCAGTTTGCCAATCCTGACAAAATTTGGCATTTCTCTCAAACCACCTGCGCCCAAAGGTTCAGAAACCAAGCTATGGAAAAGAAACCCCTCATCTGCAGCATCACTCACAGTAAACAACTGCAAGATCAAGTTTTTAAGTACATGGTGGGTTGACCAGGTATCCCCCAAAGCTACTCTGTCACTCCCCTCTGCAGCTGGACAGGGGAGAGAAAACAGAACAAAAGGCTCGTGGGTCAAGATAAGGACAGGGGCAAGACAAACTAATTTCCCCAAGTGGAGTCTAATTTATTACCAATCAAATCAGAGTAGGATCATGACAAACAAAACCAAACCTTAAAACCACCTTTCTTCCGTTCCTCCCTTCTAGGGCTCAGCTTCACTCCAAATTTCTCTGCCTCTTTCCCTCAGCGGCACAGGGGGCCAAGGTAGCTCATGTACCACCCATGGTGACAGGGTGCAGTGAGTCCAAACATCAAACACGCATACCTGGATCACCATTCTGACTTCCCAGTTAAGCTCACCCTATTTAGTGTGCAACCAGCAGCATATCTGATACTACAGAGATTTAAACCAGCAGAGATGCATGGTGTGTTTCAAGTTGATTTACGTGTAAGTAGTATTTTATTTACTTTAGAAAATGAGTACTTTTCTGTTTAACACTGGAGGGGGTGATGCAGTTTTTAATTAATTTGCTGGTTTGGCTTTTTTAATGTCAAGAAAACAAATGGAGCAATATAAAAATACCAGAAAACAGCTAACATCGGGGACTATAATGTAACCATAAAAGGAGCACTTTCAAAGCACTTGCAAAGTTCCAGCCACATGATTCCCATTAACTATAATGAGCGCTGGACAGATAAATTCACACATGTTGCTTTGAAGATTTATACTAAATTGGCCTCATCTTTGTTAGCACTAAAGAAATACTGATACTATACAATATTAAAGAGAAATCTTTTCATTTGCCCCCTGCAATTTTCTTCATTACCCACAGAATTACCAGTAGCCAGTCATACTGCCAATTCATCATCTTCCAGTTTTACAATTTATATATTAACTATAGCCCAACAGCCAGTCTCTGCAGAATATAGTGCTAAAACACTCCTTTGTTTAAAACACAGGCCCAGCTAGTTGTGCTCTGAAGCACATCAAAGGCCTGAACAAGTGGAACAGCACAGGGATAGAGCTGCTGCCATAGAAGCCAATCCATATTACCTTGCCAAATATTTAATTGCGGTGCATGTACATTTGGCTTGATCTTGTGCTGCTTTGAAGTAAAGACATTAGCTCCAATTAATCCCAAAATGACCTCCAGTTATGGGCTCTGGAAACAAAGAAAGAAAACAGAAGTGGCACAGGAACAATGCGAGCTGCCTGCCCTTTTATTTCTTTCTCTCTCCCTCCCCGCCATGCCTGTTTAAGGATAGTATTTGGTATTCATGAATGATGCTGAATGGACCCTGCAAATCATGTTTCTTCTCGCTCACAAAGACAGAAGAGCCTCAAGCTGGGCAAGCAGTTAACTCCCCACCAGTGTTCCTCAGACTTGCACTGTGGCTGTTAGAGCTGCTGGCCTGTACCTTGAAACCTAGCAAGTCTATCATAAACAGCATTAATATATTAAGAAGTTCTTCCCTGTGAGGGTGCTGAGGTGCTGGCACAGGGTGCCCAGAGAAGCTGTGGCTGCCCCATCCCTGGCAGTGTTCAAGGCCAGGTTGGACACAGGGGCTTGGAGCAACCTGCTCTAGTGGAAGGTGTCCCTGCCCGTAGCAGGGGGTTGGAACTGGATGAGCTTTAAGGTCCCTTCCAACTCAAACCATCCTGGGATTCTATGATTAATAATCCAATGTTAACAACTGTAAATTGTGAAGATGAAACTCAGGAACTCACAGATCCAAACCTATTGCTGCAGCTAAAGGACATTCTAAACGAAGAACTTACGTTACACAAACAAGCCAGCTACCAAAAGGAAACAAAGGGCTGTTACTCATGTTGACAAAAGCCTTTGTCACTGTCTTCCTACCCACCATTTTCATCTCAATGGGATCAATGCTTCTGAAATCTTTCATTTCAGGGGTTTACCACATCAACACTTAGCACCCAGATACACTGAAAGATCCATGTACTACTTTGCCTAACACCACAGAAAACACCTCCCAATCCACGAGAATTTCTGAGGTCTCAGATGACATTCCTGTACTAAATTGAGTCAGAGATCAAAACTGCAAGCATGTGCTCTCTGACACCATGCAAAAGTTAATAGCTTTGAACAGATAAACCAAAAAAAAACAAAAAACGCCTACCCAAAGCACTAGAAAGAAACAATGCCTTTTGCTTCTTCTGTCACCATATGCACAGCTCAAACTCCTGCATCTGCCCCAAGTTTAACATCTCCTGTACTGCAGAGGGTGTTCATAGAACAGCAAGTGCTGCTCCTCTTTAGGATGGCACCTTCACATGAAAATAAATGGTTTGTATTTGAAAGCAAGTAGTAAAAGTGAACGTGTCTGAGGCTTCCCCTCAATGAATTCCGTACCCACCAATGTGCAAGGCATGGTCTTGTGCAAGGGCTGCAAACAGCGCTGTCCTCGTGCACCACCACTGTCCATATGTACCTCCACTGTGGCAGACAGTCACAAGAACAACTTCTTTCTACTCGTTTTCCTGCATGCACTTTCCTTAGCTGGAAACCTTTTTGTTTCCTAATGTGACATTTTTGTGCTCTTCCTTCTGACGCATCAGACGCAAACGTTACTGAACTCGTATTTCATAGTTTCCTCCAAATCAAAAGACTGCTGAACTACTTAGTTACCTCTGTGTCAGCACATTCCCTCGAGGGCAATACTGTCTTTTACCCTTGTCAGTTAATTTGTTCATTGCAACACAAGTTTATTGAAAGCACTCCGAGTCTTAATTAGAACTCTTTAGTTGCTGTTCCCTGTAGCTGCTGTGTCTCAGTATGAAATGCTGTGGAGCAGAATTAAGAAGAAGTTTCCTTATAGCCATGGCTTAAACATGAAATGTAATGAGAGTACCTGTAACAACACATTTGTAACTAACTTTAAGCCATGAAATTAAAATATTTACACATGGAAAAAAAAAACAACCACCTCCTTGCAGTTGTCCATCACAGGCATACCCCATCTCCGAAAGCCTCCGCAATGCCAGGCACACTGCAATCTATTAATGCAACAGGAGGAAGAGTGTACTCCTGGGTCACGGAGATGTGTCAACCACTGAAACAGACAATTCTTATCTTACAGAAAGTTCCCGAACAATGCACATGATGTTAAAAGCACACACCTGCACTGCCATTGCCTCCTTGTAGTACTTCCTGTAGCTATGCCTGTACTAATTCAGTTTTCTTGAATACAGGTGACCAGACCTGAGCACAGTCTCACTCACAGAGTCATACAACATCCATATAAACATCACCATGGTTGTACTATTGATGATTTGCTGGATACGGTGTAAAACTGCCCTGAGTGTCCTCTTCAGACACTTATAAATTACAAAAAGCACCTTTATAAATGAAATACCTCCTGCTAGCCCCAAATCACTCACTTGTGTTTCATAACAATCTATTTCACAGTCTACTATTTCAGCCCCTAAGACAGCCCCCCAGCTTCCAGTGTCATGTCTTTCTGCCCTTTCTGACAAAGCTCCCCAACATGGCACCATCAGTAAATCACGTTAGCAATCTCTAACTCATTCTTGTTGTGATTACAGTTAGTCACATGTTGTTTGGGGGGCATTTTAGCTTCATCTCCCCCCAGCCCAATATCTCCCTTGACATCACAAAATGGGGCTGTTTTCTAGCTTGTACCAATATCCAGCTTAACTAGTAATTTCCCACATGGCTCTCTAGCTAAATGCTTTACTGAAATCCAAACAGATTAGATCTCAGAGATCCCAGAATCCCTTCATGGCTTTGAAAATGACACCAGCAAGACATTATGGTTAACGCTAGTTTGTTTATTTCAATTATGTGCTTTGCTGCATGTTAGAATAAAGCAGACTTTCACGTTTCTCTGTTCTTGCGATATGACTGAGAGCTCTCTCCTTAATGAATCTTGGGGCTGAAGGTGAGGGAGCTGGGCATAAATGGAAGGTAAATCAAGCCCTTTTTTCCACAATAAACAATGTTCTGCTTTCAGAGCTCTGCTGCTCTTGGTCAAAAGCTCCAAACTTGCAATGACTGCCAATAGAAGGTTTTAGAAGAACAGGGCACTTTTTAATCCTAATGAAATACAACAGATGGATGGAGTGGGATCAACTGTTACCCACCCTCTCAAATCCTGGCAGCTGTAGCACCCCTTGAAGCTGCAAGCAAAAAGCTGCTCCTGGATTAGAGTAACTGATGTGATCTCAGATTGCTCAAAAACTTGACCCTGACCATTCGTATCCCCTTCCTCCTACTCACACATACTGCATTC